TGGATTTACAAGCAATTTTCCTGCACCTATTCAACTTATCCAGTGTTTCTCAACCTTGGCCAACTTGAAGATGTCCGGACTTCACCCCCCAGAATCCCCCAGCCAGCGTGCGCTGGCTGGGGAATTCTGGGAGTTGAAGTCCGGACATCTTCAAGTTGGCCAAGGTTGAGAAACACTGGATAAGTTGAATAGGTGCAGGAAAATTGCTTGTAAATCCACACATAATTTGTGGAATATATATACGCCTTTTCCAATTTTGTAGCCTCTGTGAAGCTGTGGGATAGATGTGTATCCATGACACATGTATTTATACCTATTTAGCATGTTCAGATTCCTATGTGAGATTGAACATGTGTAATACTTTCTAGAAAGGAGAAGCAACTTATGGCCTCTGTGGGTTTCCTCGGCTTTCCCCAGTGTTTCCTTCTCCCTCTCTGTCCTTTATTTTCACTCTGACAATGCTATTTGTTGGTGTCTTCCTCCCCCTGCTGTAGAGGGAGAGTATTACCCTTGGGAGCGAGAACTTCAGCAAGGCCTCTGGCTTCAACGTCTATCAAACGAAGAGGACATGGGTACTTTTAAAGGTACCCTTGCACCGTCACTGCATCCCTTGAGGAAGAAGGGGGAGCTCCTTTATTACAAAGAGCAGGTCTCATGTGGTACAGCATATTTAGAAGCTGCTGTATTCAGCAAAATTACATTCTAAGTAAAAGTACACCTATATCGGTCTTTTCCTCTAGATCAGTGTTCCTCAACTTAGCCACTTTATGTTATGTGAGCGTCAACTCCCAGAATTCCCCAGCTAATTCCCCAGGCACCTACGCTAGCTTGGGAATTCTGGGAGTTGAAGTCCCCGTATTTTAACATCTCTAAGGATGGAAAAACTGCTTTAAGGACACTAGCATGGTAATTTACCATGTAGTTTACCTTCGTTTTTCATCACAATAACTGTGAGATAAGAAATAGAGATTACTCACTTCAATCCCTGATTACCATGATCAAATGGGGACTGTTTCTCTTTATTTTTTATTGACCATTTTAACCAATATATTATTAGGAGCAAATATAACATTTGCTTTTTTTCCCCTGCCTCTTTCATAATGTAAATAGAGTAACAGTTAGATTAAAGCTCAGGCATTTCTAAATTAAATTCGTTAAATTCCATGGCCAAAATATGTGTCTGTTGCTGCACACACATATACTGTCTTTTTTGTGCTGCTTATCTGGGAAAGGGTCAAACTCTAAGCATGCAAAGACAAGCAGCATTGTCATCTTGTGTTTTTCACTGGGCCAGATTATTTTATTTATGTCATAGCTTGACATTTTTGTTACAGTGATAACTTCATCAAAAAGAATCCACACTATCCTCCCTTTTTATTAACCAGAAAAAAAGTATTTTGTTCCAGTTTTTGAAGACTTGGCTTAAAAAGTTGGAAGTTCCCTCCATTTTGGCTTAATATTATATCATATGCTATTGTGACATATTATGATAATTTGATAAATGCTGTTTTCTTCTAGTGCCTGACATTCAGCTGCAAAAATGGTTGCATATAAATAGAGAAGAGGATACAGTGGCAGTCACTATGGCTATATATTGTAATAAATAAAAATTTGAAGAATTATATCTTTCTGGAGACCGTTTTGCTCACACACAAACCCTGCCATCAATTGTGGATAACAAATCACAGGCTATATTTTGTTTATTAGGGCATCTGAACAAGGGTTCCTATCTTTTATAGAATAAGATCCACATTTTATTCTTGCTTTCAAGGTCCCTTTTTCAGAGAAAACATTTTTTTTTTAAAGTGCCAGCTGGACCATCAGAATTCATCCGTGATCGGATGACCAGCATTCAATCAGCAAACCCCTTTTCTTTATACTAAGCTACAGATTTTCAGAAATTCAACCTAATAATCCCCTGTGTTAAAGTTTACCACTAGCTCAAAAGCTTCCAGGGAAACAAATAACCTTTATGGGCTTAAAGAAAATTGGAAATGGTGAGTTTTATTGGATACTATCAGAATAACAAGCTTTAATTTCTGATGGTTGACGAGGCCTGCTCTTTGAAAGCCTTGCTAAGGTTCTACATATGAATTCCCAGACATTTTTTAAATCTCGCAAACTAAACTCATCTTGTTAACTCCCCAGCAGTGTGTTCTAACACTAACAATACTTACCCAAGGATTTGTGATGGAAAAGGACAGTTGGCAGCATGAGTTGCCATAATTCAACAAGAGAACTTGAGTGCATGATGTTTTTCAAAATTCCACTGGGTGGTTTTAAAGTTACTTCATTCTTCTTGGAAGCAAAGTAGGATTGGGTGTGAATTAAAGAAAAAGAACAAAATGTATTTAACATTCTGCCTGTATTCTTAGTTTCTTTTTGGCTATTCTATGATATTGGGCAGTTATTGTTTGAAATGCTGCTCAGTAAAAGAGAAAAGGAAAACAGCCTGTTCTAAACCATACTGGTGAACACTGTAGCTTTATTGGTAATTAAAGAAGAATGACAAAATATATGTTGGAATTTAGATGCGTTTCTAATAGACTTAACCATGGTCAATCTTCAAGTATCATATGCATCACCGAAGGATTATTGTATTTTGCAGTGAATTGAATATATAAACTGTAATATGGGAGGAAGCACCTGCATGACCAGCGCTGATCTTTATCCTTTTTTCTCTTTCAATATCTATTTTCTCTCTCAATCTACTTCAAATAACTTTTTTTTTCTTTCTCTGTCTTTCCTGTACTCCTTTTCCTCCCTGTTTTACTTTTCCTTTGCCTTCTGCGTGATCCGCCATTGGCCTTTTCTCTGCTAGCTGGAAACCTGAGGCTGCAGCAGATAGTAAATCCAATTGATCCCCTGGAAATCTTGGCTGATGTGCATTGGACACACATCCATCAGAAGGAGGAGGAGGAAAAAGTGGGTCCCACTTCTAAGTCCTCCACCTCAAGAGGTAACCATGTCCACTGCATTCACCCCCTACATCATAAGGGCATTTGATTCCCATTAAATGCAGAAAGACCAATTCTGAGACCATCGTCATGTTGCTTCTAGAGCTTTCATGTTTGTTTATTGTTTGTAATAGAATGAAACATGTCTTGTGTCTGTGGTATGAACATTCATTTGTAATGGAAGAGGGATCTGCTGGTATGTACTATGAAGGCTATAGTTTGAGGTATCTCTTTTAAGCTTTAAGTACCCATGACTTCCTAAGACAGGCAGAATTAGTCTAGCCTAGGGGTGTCAAACTCAAGGCCCGTGGGCCGAATGTGGGCCCCGGGACTGCCCTAGAAACAGTGAAGGACTGGCCTGCTGTACCTCTGCCAATGAAAATGGAACTCGGGAGGCCCGCGCGTGGCTACAGAGCTCCATTTTCTCTGGCAGAGGGATGCAGGAGGCCATTGCAGTCGAAAACTGAGCTTGGGAGTCCATTTTCGCTGGCAGAGCATTTGGGCCGCCAGGGGCACCCCTGACACAAGTGACGTCAAGCTAGCCATGCCCACCCTAGCTACGCCCAACCCGGCTCTCCGAGGTCAAATGCAGCCCTAATGCAGCCCTCAATGAAATCAAGTTTGACACTCCTGGTCTATCCTAATGCAAGAGAGAAATCGAGTGTATACAGTTCTTTAGGCTGGTTTAATGGAGAATAGCCTCCCTCAGCCTGGTGGATGTGACGTAGCGGGACTTTCCTCCCCCTTCATTAAACCTGGCATGGTTGTGGCCAGCGCATGATGCATGCGGCCCATGGGCTGGGAGTTTGACAGCCCTGCTCTAGAGCTTCTGTTGGATACGTAATCTTAGTTTTGTGTTTTACATTAAATCTGCAATTTGTTACTTTTCTTAAACAAAGACTAACAAAGTACTTCTTATGACCTCTTGAATTCCTAATTTTGAAATATTAATACTTTGCAAGGAGGAGCTCTCTCCCTCCCATAGCCACTGAAATTGCAACTCATTTAGTCCAATTACATACTGACTAACTTTTTCCAAACCCTTTAGAAAGTTTCCTTTCTTATACTTTCTTGAAATGAAAGGTGTGGTTATATATGTGTGTATGAGACAGACAGACAGATAGACAGACAGACAGACAGACAGACCAAGAGAAACGGAATAAGAATATTTATTAGCAGAGGAAGTATTATGAACTTTACAAGAGAAAGTTTGCTTGTTTGTTTAGTCTTGGGAGTTCTGTACTTGTTATATATCATATAATGTTACTCAAAATACCGACACTGCAACCTATTAAAATGAATTAAAATGAATTTAAAAATCAGTTTAAAGCAGTCCTTCCAAATAAGGAAAATTAGAAAGAAAGAAATGATCACTTGCCCTTTACTACCCTTTTCACTCAATGTAAGAGAAACTTCCCATTTAAAGGTAAATGATTTGGGTGAAAAGGTAACCTTTCTTTTGAGAAATGTAAATGGTGTTCCCAAGTTCTGATTACATAATTATTCCAGGTCAGGATCTGTATGTTATTTGAAAGGATCATTCAAATAGTTAAGTCTTTCATCAAAGCCTGTACTGTATCTTTTCATCCAAACATATACAATTAATACCTCTAGTGTTCTGTTAGTGGAAACCTCAAACACATTTTTCCTAACAGTAACTCAATCACCTTTGAGCTCAAGGAAACAACTATCTGTACTTCTTAAAATATAAGCAGTTTTAAAATTTGACAAGCCTCTGAAAGCCTAACTTGAAAACAAACAGCCCAAGCACAAGAGATCTAATATTTTGATCTTATACTTTCTCTGAGAAAAAAAGAAGAAGAAGAAGGCATATTTGGGGGTTCAGTAATCCTTGCAGTTTGAAAAGATGAATATGTTCATTATACTTCCCTTATGTTAGATTCTATGGATATTTCATAATTGCCTTATTTCCTTGGATTTTCTCTGATGACCTAGTGTACGGTTTGGGGTTTCACCGTTTATTTGGCTTCATGGAAACTTCCCTTGATTCCTTTCCTTGAATTTCCTAGCTCGCTATATCCTGGTATGGTCCTTTTTCTTTGTGTTGGGATGAACTCTTTTGAATTCTCAACCAGGGCAGCCAGGAGGAGAACTTTGACTCAACCTTTTAAAGGTCCCAGGTGAAGTAGTATAAAAGAGCTTGATTTTGTCTCACAACTAAGAGATATACTGTACAAGAGAAGGCGAAACATGCAGTTTTGTAACTCATATTAAGCAATGGGCTCTAAATAACCCTATTTACATTGTATGTTGTAGTAGATAGAACAATCTTTAAGAAAGCTGGATATATTTGGCAGGAGAACATGGGAGATGATAGTTTGAGGACTTCTAAGAGTTGGGTTCTCTATGGCAGAATAATCATCAGAAGAAAAATTCATCCACTTAAAAGGAAGGGAGAGAATCGGGTGAAATGCTACCGATTCGGACCGATTTGCCCGAACCGGTAATAAAAAAATGCTACCGGTTCGTCCAAAGCAGTAGTAGAAAAAATACTACCAGTTTGCCCGAAGCAGTAGTATTAAAAAAATGCTACCGGTTCGTCCAAAGCAGTAGTAGAAAAAATACTACCAGTTTGCCCGAAGCAGTAGTATTAAAAAAATGCTACCGGTTCGTCCAAACCGGTAGTAAAAAAAATACTACCAGTTTGGGCAAATTGGTAGCTCTGACGATCAGCTGTGTGACAGTCAGCTGTGCTGCACGATTAATCATGCATCACAGCTGATTGTCACGCAGCTGATCGTTGGAATTACTGGTTTGCTCGAACCGATAGCATTTTCTAAGTACCGGTTCAGGCAAATGGCATGCATGCGCGCACGAAGTAAACCAGTAGCAGACTTCAGAGCATTTAACTCCTGACGTGAATATAATAGGGATTGAGGGAGTCCATTGATCAGAGCATTTCTGTTTTTAAGTATTTTTTATTTTACCAGAGGTTCTTTGATTTCTACGAGAAAGGTCAGAGCTCAAGCAAATGTTAATCTCAGCTTGTAATAATTTTTCAACAGAGTTGCCTCAGGTAGCCATGGTGGAAGCCATGGCAGCAGATACCAGGATCAAGGAATTTATGTTTCAGTCTTCCCCTTCTTACAATCCAACTTAGAATCCGTCTGATTTTGCTTTCCCATGGTGTGTTTTTGTTTTGTTTTTCCTGCTTCCTGACTTTTTTTTCTTTCAAAATACATGTTGAGTGTGCTGTGGAATTTATTATAATTTTATTTTATTTTAATTCAGCATCTGACCTTCCCTCCATCCGCCACGAGGCAGTACAGGCATGGCTGGATGCAGCCCCAGGAGGTAGTTTTGGTGATGTTCTGTTTATAGCCTCACAAGTAACCCTGCCCGCCACTGCTGGCAATGCCACTTCTCCATGTTTCCAGTGCCGCATTTGCTGGCCTTTTTTTTAACCCAGGAACTATCAATGTCTTTATTGCTACTGCATGGCAGAGTTGGGGAGGCAGGGAAAAGGGGGTTGCATGTCTCAAAGAGATGAGCCATTCTTGCATGAATTAAACCACCATCTTAATTCCTTCAGCTTCCCTTCTTGCAGAGAATATGGAAATTCAGATGCAGTTGAGAAGAGAAATAGATTTTCTAGATATGCCATAGACCAGTAGGACCTATTTAAATCTAACACTTAACTGAAAGGTGAAAACAAGCCACAGGTATTTCTCTGAGTGCTCTTGACGACTAAACACCCATCTTACAGTTTGCTAAAAAAAAAAAACCACACGCACAAGATTTCCATTGGGGCCGGTAGAAGATTGCTCCCCAAGATAAATTATTTCCTTTACTCAACTCTCATAGTCTTGATTTTATGCAAGGCCCTTGGTGGCCATTGTTTTCTAAAATTACATTTAAGTTAAATGCTGTCTTAGGCGATCTGAAGTGGCTCCATCTTTAAAATTCATAATGGGAAGATGTGTGATCTGTCCCACCTCACATAATCTTATTGTAATATTACATTTTCTACAGAACATCTTCCTAATGTGGGGGAAAAAATCTTCTCGCTTTTTTCCGTAGCCATTATCTTCCAGTTTCGAAACTTAGAAATGGTAGACAAAAGGTGTCTACAGTTCTGAAAAGAGATGTAGTTCGAAGGAGAAGTCATTGAGGATCACTGAGCTGGAAGAATTCTAGATGAGGGATCGGCAACCTTAAACACTCAAAAGAGCCACAAAGGTCCTAACCGGAAGGGCCCCCTCCCTTCAATTCTGAAGCCAACCAGAAGTCTGGTTCCCCCACCATAGAGTCTCCTCCTAGCTTGGCGTCCTTTTTCTTCTATCTATCCTAACTGAAAGCCCTATCAATTGTGGAGCCGATTGGTGACAGGGACCCACAACAGAGGGATGAAAGAGCCACACATGCAGCTCCAGAGTTGCAGGTTGCTGACCTCTGGTCTAGATAGACCTTAAGTTGACAAAAACTTTAATGAGAACTCATTGTTGAAGTCAATTTGAAGTGTATTAAAGTCAGAATTGAGATACGTTTGTGTGACTGGAATCCCACCATCTAGATAGAAGCCATAATAGATCAGATTCTTTGTAAAGTGTCTTTGCTACTCCATATAAAATAGCTAAATCGTACAGGTTGCTTCTAAAGAGCTTTTTCCTTTGGTCTTATTCTTACAGCTGAGTCCTCAATGACTTCTCCTTCGAACTACATCTCTTTTCAGAACTGTAGACACCT